ATATATATATATATATATATATATATATATATATATATATATATTTATATATATATATATATATATATATATATATATATATATATATATATATACATATCTATATATATATATATATATATATATATATATATATATATATATATATATATATATATATATATATATATATATATATATATATATATATATATATATATATATATATATATATATATATATATATATATATATATATATATATATATATATATATATATATATATATATATATATATATATATATATATATATATATATATATATATATATATATATATATATATATATATATACATATATATATATATATATATATATATATATATATATATATATATATATATATAATAAAAATAAAATTATCAATTATCAAAACCAAAAACAATTTTAAAAAAGGCTAATATTTGTAATTGTAAATATAATAAGACAGAAAATGTGCAAAAAATACCAATAATATTACATTTTATTTTGGCCTTAAAAAATTAAATGAATAATATTTATATAGAAATATATAAATAATAATAATATATAATTTAACAAAATATAAAATGGATTATAACAATAATATATAATATTAATAATATAAAAATCTATAATAATGGTAATAATAAATGAATTATTTGTCAGAACCACAACAAATCCAAAAAGATTAAAAATGACTAATATTTATAATTGTAAATAAAATAAGCAAGTCAGAAATGTGCACAAATACCAATAATAATAATACTGTTTATTTTGGCATTTACAAATATACAAAATGATTTTTTTAAATAAATACATAATAATAATAACATATAATTTATTAAAATATAAAATGGCTTACAATAATAATAATAATATATAATAATCTTTAATAATAATTTAACAATTTATCAGAACCACAACAAACCAAAAAGATTAAAACATGACAAATATTTACAATTGTAAAAAAAAAAGTCAGGAAATAAACAGAAATAGCAATAATAATATATTTTATTTTGCATTTCATTATTTATAATATAAAATCAATAATAATAATGCAATTCAACAAATTAAAAAATGGCTTATATTAATATATAATAATAAATTAATTATTTATCAGAACCAAAGCCGAAAAGAGTATAATACAATTTATTTAATATAAATATAACCTAAATATTATTTAAATGTAACCGTCACAAAAAAGATGCGTCAGTTTCAGCTCATTTCTGTGGTCATGTGCACGTAGAGACAAATCTGCTTAAAATGGCACAGGCCATCCAATTATGTTGGTAGGTAAATATAAGAGCATACAAATTTGCTACAACATGAAGGCGAGTAAATAACCGCAGAGAATTCGTATTATGCATGTAAATGTCAGCCAGATGCTCCAGTATCTTCAAAACCTTTTCAAAGTATTAGTCACTCTGCAAATATAGCATATTCAGACGCGCTCTGCACTTAAGTGACCTTCTTGAGTTGAGTAATAGAGAAATAAATAAAAAAGATGATCTTCTCACCGTGTGTACGGCTCACAGCTGCTCTTCAACAGAGACAGCAGCACCGGATGATTCTCATTACTGCAGTTACTCTGAGCTTCATTATACAGACACGACAGCAGCTTTACACCCTTAACACACACACACAGGCAATTATACAAACACCACTGCAACATGAAAACCTCTAAGCTGATGTTACTGACAGAAGTGTTTTTTACCACGGGAAATGTTGCTCGTCCCACACCGGCGATTCCATCCACACAACACAGTTCTGACAGATACCTGATCAACAGGGAGATGAAGCTGTAAGGAAGCTGATTTTCTTTTTATACACTACGTGCACGTATACAAGCCAAAAATCATTCATACCCACATCCAATTCTGACCTGGTTACTTTTATTTAACTGGAATTTATTTTGACCGGAAATGACACCAGCTTCTCCCAAAAGATAAGATGATGTACTAAAGGCAACAATATTTATTTTCCAGGTTTTATTGACATTTAAAACAACAACTTTTAGTCAGAATTTGATTTGGGTGTGAGTAATTGAGTTTGACAGTGTTTTTTAGTGTTACTAATACAGGCTTTGTTAAATGTGCCACTTAACTCATCCAATTAAACATTATGCATTTATTTTCATATATATTTCAATGTTGATCAAAAACAATTTGTTAAAAAGTGTCTTTTTAATACACACACACACACACACACACACACACACACACACACACATGCATACACGCATATTTATGTTGTTTATACACAAACACACTCTCTCATCGGCCACTTTATTAGATACACCTGTTCAACTGCTCGTTAATGCAAATCTTTAATCAGGCAATCACATGG